ATGTGTGTGTGTGTGCGCACTGTTAGGCTCATAAATCATGTATGGACACCGAAATCCACTAATTTTCAGTTATTCATCTTAAAAGAGAATCTTGAAATGTGTGACGTATGCTTTGGATTCTAAGAGTGTCATTCTACTACCTCAATTGCAAGAGGTGATTTTTTTTTTTTAGATTATGCGTGGCTTTTTTCATGACATCCATTCTACATGACATGGTCTGACCTCTAATAATGAGATGCAGCCTGTTTACAACCATTTCTTCAATATCCAAGCAACCGTCAGCCATTGACTTCATACCATATTGTAAATAAAGCATATAGTCACTGGGCACTATATTGTGCTTGCAAATAAGAGCTATATATAGATATATGTAAATACACAAATATATATTAGCATTTGGTGCTGCATAACTTAAATCTAAAAAAAACTCAATTTGCAGTACAGTTTCAAATACTGCATGTTACACCAATAATCAATGTATATACATTCATTCATTCATTCATTTCCCGAACCGCTTGATCCTCACTAGGGTCGCGGGGGGTGCTGGAACCTATCCCAGCCGTCTTCGGGCAGTAGGCGGGGGACACCCTGAATTGGTTGCCAGCCAATCGCAGGGCACACAGAGACGAACAACCATCCACGTTCACATTCACACCTAGGGACAATTTAGAGTGTTCAACCAGCCCACCATGCATGTTTTTGGAATGTGGGAGGAAACTGGAGTACCCGGAGAAAACCCACGCAGGCCCGGGGAGAACATGCAAACTCCACACAGGGAGGCCGGAGCTGGATTCGAACCCGGCACCTCTGCACTGTGAAGTCGACGTGCTAACCACTGGACTACCGGGCCGCCCTCAATGTATATACAGTAAAACTAAATAAAATCTTTTTCCACTTTTCATGTGCCAGTCTTAGTCCCAAATTGATTAAATTGAATATTTTCCCCTCAAAATTCTACACACAAAGGCTTTTCATGTAAACATTTTTTTTCTTGAGATTTTTGCCAATTTGTTGTAAATAAATACATACAAATAAAGATACCTCATGCATGTTAGTATTCACAGTCTTTGCTATAAAACTCAGATTTGAGCTCATGTCCATCTTTCTTCCATTGATTATCCCAGAGTTGTTTTTTCATCTTAAGCGGAGCCCAACTTTGGTAAATTCAGGCGACTGGGCATGATTACGAAAGGCACAACTCTGTCTACTGAATGTAAGGCCCTGCCGTTCACAGTGCTTGTCAGAGTACAAACCAAGTTTGAGTCAAAGAATTGTTTCAAGGCCTCTGAGACGATTGTCTCGAGGCACAGATAAGGGGTTGTGTAAAGAAAGATTGCTGCTCATCTAGAAGGTCTCAATGAGCACAGTGGCCTCCAGACTCGTTCATACCGAGTTGGATGACGTAAATTCAAATATCTGCACGGTTTCAAGCATTTTACAATGTTTTTACAGATGCATCTTAAAGTCCCACCTATTTGGCATCAATCACTGAAAATCCAGATTGGTTGAGTTCAGTAAAACCAAGTCGTTGTTGTGAAAGCGGAAAACTCCATTCAATTCAACACATTCAGTACGTAGTTATAACGGAAGATGAGTCGACAGAAAATCCATCCATCCATCCATTTTCCGATCCGCTTTATCCTCGCCAGGGTCACGGGGGGTGCTGGAGCCTATCCCAGCTGTCTTCGGGCAGTAGACGGGGGACACCCTGAACCGGTTGACAGCCAATCGCAGGGCACACATAGACGAGCAACCATTCGT